CAACTAAATTTAATGAATGAGAGAGATGCACGAGGTACAGAAAAAGCTCTAGAATTTATTTTCCTTAAATTTACGATTTATGTATCCGTTTGTCATAAAAATTTGTCTTTCCACTTTTTTCCCGAGACTACAAATATTCGAGTACAAAGTAACTGGTTTCCACTTTTTTCTACCTAAAAAGTAGTTAAATAATTAAGCGATTAGGGAATTGGGGACGTAAACAAAACCCGACGAAAGAGCCGAAATTTTACTTAAACAAAAGCTTAACCGAACCAATCTCTAGCCGAGTACAGTGGGGACTGATTTCTTCGAAATACTGTATTAGATGTAATAAAGACAGAAATTTTTCCAGTTCGACAAGAGTGACCGAAAAGTTGTAAATTTTGGAAAATTTCGAGGCCAACCCGTCGATCCACGCTCGGACGGGTTGGCCTCGTAGAGTTTTTCGAGTTTGTTAATGCCTAAGTACGGGTCAGTTTCCCGTAAAATACCTGTCGGAAGGCATTATTTTCCTGTGCGCGCGAATGGCTATTCCATCTACGGCCGCCTACTCGGATGCATGCGTCCAATATATCGTTCATTCGGAGCCTTCAGAAGCTGCATATTCCACATAAAACAGTGGTAGAAAGAAGAAACGATGACGGCAGGCCGCCTAGCGCTCAAGGTAGCAGCCTACCGCTCTGGGGGAGCCGGGATTGAATCCGAACGCGGTCGAAAAGTTCCCAGGAATTTTTCGGGGATGGTCCGTCCGGATATATCGAGCTCTGTCCCTCACCGTCTGGCGAACCCATAATAGGCTTGCTAAAAGAGGCCCTCTTACTTCCCACAGGGCTAAGAGTTGAAAATAACATAAAATCTAAGTAATACTTAATCATACCATAAACAAATTATGTTGATAGATATAATATGATTTATAATTTATTTTTGTAAGTAAATTTATAATACTGTATTTTCAATGTTCGACTGAAAGTTTTCGAAAATGAAGTAAAAATTTTAAGTTCAATTTCCGCTTTAGGAAAAAATTTAGCGCCATCTCCATCAGTTTGGGAATGATAACAAACGACAGCAAAATTATATTACATGGTGTCAAAAAATTCTATGATGGAAAATGAAGAAAAAAACAGTAAAAAGGTAATATTAAATTTTGTAAATTTGTTATTAATTTTTTTAAAAAAAATTTTATATATCTTTTTTAGAATTTAAATATTGCTCGATCCGGAACCACGTGTATCGCACGTGGATTCATTTTAACAAGTTTGAGGTTTATAAGCAGTGATATGTTTTGAAGATTAAATCTTATAAAAGTATTCTGAAATGAATAACTAATGTTTCATATATATATATATATAAACAGATTTGTTTACAAATTTTATGAATGTAATGAAATTATTTCTCAAAACTGATGATCATTGATCTGTTAACTGTTCCATTGGGAATTAATCCGATTAGATCAATTATATTTAATTAATAAATATATAGATTACGTATTACAATTCTTTATTATCAGAATTCCAGATGCTTTTTAATGACAATTCTTATAAATAATTCTCTTCAGATTATAGGAATATGTTTTATTGGACTGATTTCTTTAAATATTTAAAGAATTTGCATCAATAAAGCATAATTTCTTTATAATTTGGGAGTAGATTGGCGATTATGTACAAGATTAGTTCTTTAACATAAATTTTCAAATTTCAACTAAGCCATACTTAATTGAATTTTGGAGTAAGTGGAATAAAGCAAAAATATATTTTACTGACAAGGGGACAGCATGACATTAGAGTCACTGATTTTGATCAAACTTGATGAAATTATAGTTCATCCCGAATGACTGACATGTGCCAAGCAACCTTAGCTACTATCCTACACACCAATGATATGTCATATCCATGTGTCCACATTGATACACTGGAAACTAAATGCACTACACAATGGCCACCATGATAGAGAGGACTGTTACATCGTAACCTTCCACCCCTTCCTGAGGTTGGTATTTAAATCAATAGCCAAATAAAAAGGCCCATAAATAATACAAGAGATGTCTCACAATTTTCACTCTCCTTAGGAATGTGAAGGATCTGCCTATCCCCATAAACTTCTGGGAGTGTACTGTTCCTCAGAAAGACAAGAGATTCAATAGGAACCTTGTGTATATAGGCTCCAGAAAAAACCAGTAGATAAGAGGCTGCAAGAGCTTGCCACTGACATAAGTCAAGGCTCTCTACAACCCTGTCATTATAAGTTGTAGATCCAGATATACAGGCATGCTTACAAAATACTAGCATCCTAGTAACAATGCAATACATAGAAAGGCTTAGATATTTAGAAGCTTTAGAAATTTTTTAAGCAAATATAAACATCACATGTCAATCATAAGGAGGAGCTTTCTCTCTTGGCAGCTTGGCAGGCCCTATACAAACCAGTGCTTAGTTTTTGTTGTTGTCCTACAAAAATATAAAGTGGCACTGTGACCCACTTTATATTTTTATGTGGCCCATTGCATCCTCAATTTTTTAGATTTATTTTCATTTATTTTGGTAAAGTATGTCATAAAAATTATTCTTGTTTTACTGGATACACTTTGATGTGACAATGACATAATTGATGTTGTATTTGTAACTGTCCAATCAAAAAAGTTGCTGGCGTGGTCTGTCATTTTGATTGTTTTAGTTTCAAAGATTTTCGTAATAAAGTGATGTTGTTAGTGATAAAGAATGGGTACCTTTTATCAAGTGGATGAAAAAGACACATAATCCCTCTTTTCAAAAGAGTTTCATCCATTTTTAGTGACTTAAGGCTAGGCCTAATGCCAAAGTGGAAAGGGCTAATTTATTCTCTATAGAAATAAAGAATAAATTAGACCCTGCCATTTCGGCATTTTTACTAATTATAGGTATATAATACAGACAAGTTTATATATTTCTTTTGCTAACATAATAATTTAAATATTTTCAACCCCCAATTATGTTCATAATTATTTCATCAACTTTAAATTTATATTTTTAATAACCCAGCATTTGATCATGGCATCTAATTCTAAGAAAACAAGAACAGAAGAAAAGAGAAAATTCATTATCTTTTGGTCAGAAAAATATTTCGTAATTGAAACTTGTAATAATATTATTTGCCTTATTTTTAATGATAAAATTGTTGTGTGAAATTGTGCATTTTCAGAGTTTATTAAAAAGAAAAGAAGAATTTCCTGTGAACTTTGAAAAATATAGTACATTTTGTTAAAAGATTTAACAATGAGATTTTCTGACTTCAGAAAATAAAAACTGAATTAAAATTGTTTAGTGATCCATTTTCATTTAATTATGTGAAAGCAGCAGCTGGATACCATCTAGAACTCATTGATTTTCAAAGCAGGAAATCTTTGAAAACTGATCATAGAGAACATTCCATTCTTGAATTNTAATCCGATTAGATCAATTATATTTAATTAATAAATATATAGATTACGTATTACAATTCTTTATTATCAGAATTCCAGATGCTTTTTAATGACAATTCTTATAAATAATTCTCTTCAGATTATAGGAATATGTTTTATTGGACTGATTTCTTTAAATATTTAAAGAATTTGCATCAATAAAGCATAATTTCTTTATAATTTGGGAGTAGATTGGCGATTATGTACAAGATTAGTTCTTTAACATAAATTTTCAAATTTCAACTAAGCCATACTTAATTGAATTTTGGAGTAAGTGGAATAAAGCAAAAATATATTTTACTGACAAGGGGACAGCATGACATTAGAGTCACTGATTTTGATCAAACTTGATGAAATTATAGTTCATCCCGAATGACTGACATGTGCCAAGCAACCTTAGCTACTATCCTACACACCAATGATATGTCATATCCATGTGTCCACATTGATACACTGGAAACTAAATGCACTACACAATGGCCACCATGATAGAGAGGACTGTTACATCGTAACCTTCCACCCCTTCCTGAGGTTGGTATTTAAATCAATAGCCAAATAAAAAGGCCCATAAATAATACAAGAGATGTCTCACAATTTTCACTCTCCTTAGGAATGTGAAGGATCTGCCTATCCCCATAAACTTCTGGGAGTGTACTGTTCCTCAGAAAGACAAGAGATTCAATAGGAACCTTGTGTATATAGGCTCCAGAAAAAACCAGTAGATAAGAGGCTGCAAGAGCTTGCCACTGACATAAGTCAAGGCTCTCTACAACCCTGTCATTATAAGTTGTAGATCCAGATATACAGGCATGCTTACAAAATACTAGCATCCTAGTAACAATGCAATACATAGAAAGGCTTAGATATTTAGAAGCTTTAGAAATTTTTTAAGCAAATATAAACATCACATGTCAATCATAAGGAGGAGCTTTCTCTCTTGGCAGCTTGGCAGGCCCTATACAAACCAGTGCTTAGTTTTTGTTGTTGTCCTACAAAAATATAAAGTGGCACTGTGACCCACTTTATATTTTTATGTGGCCCATTGCATCCTCAATTTTTTAGATTTATTTTCATTTATTTTGGTAAAGTATGTCATAAAAATTATTCTTGTTTTACTGGATACACTTTGATGTGACAATGACATAATTGATGTTGTATTTGTAACTGTCCAATCAAAAAAGTTGCTGGCGTGGTCTGTCATTTTGATTGTTTTAGTTTCAAAGATTTTCGTAATAAAGTGATGTTGTTAGTGATAAAGAATGGGTACCTTTTATCAAGTGGATGAAAAAGACACATAATCCCTCTTTTCAAAAGAGTTTCATCCATTTTTAGTGACTTAAGGCTAGGCCTAATGCCAAAGTGGAAAGGGCTAATTTATTCTCTATAGAAATAAAGAATAAATTAGACCCTGCCATTTCGGCATTTTTACTAATTATAGGTATATAATACAGACAAGTTTATATATTTCTTTTGCTAACATAATAATTTAAATATTTTCAACCCCCAATTATGTTCATAATTATTTCATCAACTTTAAATTTATATTTTTAATAACCCAGCATTTGATCATGGCATCTAATTCTAAGAAAACAAGAACAGAAGAAAAGAGAAAATTCATTATCTTTTGGTCAGAAAAATATTTCGTAATTGAAACTTGTAATAATATTATTTGCCTTATTTTTAATGATAAAATTGTTGTGTGAAATTGTGCATTTTCAGAGTTTATTAAAAAGAAAAGAAGAATTTCCTGTGAACTTTGAAAAATATAGTACATTTTGTTAAAAGATTTAACAATGAGATTTTCTGACTTCAGAAAATAAAAACTGAATTAAAATTGTTTAGTGATCCATTTTCATTTAATTATGTGAAAGCAGCAGCTGGATACCATCTAGAACTCATTGATTTTCAAAGCAGGAAATCTTTGAAAACTGATCATAGAGAACATTCCATTCTTGAATTTTATAAAGTTCATTCTTTCAATGAAATTGATAAAATTGTCAATTTATCTAGAAAACTGTTATGCATGTGGAGTAGTACTGTACATATTGTTGTGAACAATTTTTTTGGGCATGAAGAATATCAAAGCTGTTGAAAGACATAGGTTGAGTGATTTCCATTTAACTAACATTCTTAGAATTAAGACTAGTACCATAAATCCACGGCCAGATGACCAAGCGGTCAAGGTGGCAGCCTACCACTCTGGGAATTCGGGATCGAATCCAGACAGCTCGAAAAATCCCCAGGAATTTTTCACGAGGTGGTCCTTCCTCATATCTACAGTAACAACTCTAAGTAATTCGCTCCTGCTCTGCCAAATGGCACTACAGAGTACAAAGAGACTGTATCTTAATCATAGGAAGGTTGGGCACCCAGTAGTCATTGAGGTAAGATCGAACCTGAGTTGAATGCTTGGGCTCTGGCAGTACTACCCAGTGGGGACCAGCCTTCCTTGCTCTTGTCTTGAGTCCAGTTCTCTAACATTTACATACAGTTTTCACAGCTTAAAGATGTTTAACACACTCAATCACTGAGTGAAGCTTAACTTTGCCAAGCTGCAAATAAATGTGGGACCCGAGGGTTCCCACATTTATTTTAAATAGGCAGAGGGGCTCTAAGTTAGCCCTGCCCAGTTGAAATCCGAGCATTAGGTTATAGCCTACTTTTGTATGCTCCATTAATTCCTGTTTCAGGCCAACTT